ATATCATGGGCTGTTTTCTGTCTGCTTAACAAGGCCCACTCAATATCTGTCTCAGCATATCCGGGCTTTCCCTTCATTCTACATTAAATCATCATGACTGAGCTGGCTCTAACCTACAAAGGGATGGTGGCTATTTAGTTCCAACTGAACGTCAGTAAGACCGAGGCCCTCCTGATTGGCTCGCGCCAGCATCTCTGCACCTCGGGCGCTGGCAGCATCAGCCTCCACAGCTGACACTCAACCTTACTAAGCCAGTCAGGAACCTGGGTGTCTTGTTTGACCCTGAACTGTCCTTTCTCCCCCACATCCACGCCATGAGTGGTACTGCCTATCACGACCTCCACAACATTGCCAGACTCCGCCACTGCCTCACCCCTCAGGCTGCCGAAACCCTCACCCACGCATTCGTCACATTGAGGCTCAATTATGGAAACTCCCTCATCATCAGTCTTCCCAACTCTTCCCTTCACAAGCAGCAGATCATCCAAAACTCTGCAGCTCATGTACTCTCACGCACCAGGCTTCGTGTCGAATTCAAGATCCTCGTCCTCACTTTTAAGACCATCCATGGCCTTGCCCCCTCCTACCTCTCTGACCTGCTGACTCCCTACCAACCTGCCCGCTCCATCCGTTCAACGGGCTCCGGCCTGCTCCATGTCTCCCGTCCGACCCACCCTACCATTGGTGGCCGGGCTTTCAGTCTCTCTGCCCCCACACTCTGGAACTCCATCCCACAGGCCCTTCACCTCGTCTCCTCACTTGCCTCCTTCAAGGCCGGTCTCAAGACCCTCCTCTTCGATCATGCCTTCAGTCGCCCTCCAACCTCTCTGCCTTCCCTCATCCTACCCCACCCCTCCCCCAAGTTTGGGTCCTGACCCCTGACTATCCAGCGCCTTGTGACTTTCTCCTCACGTGAAAGGCGCTCTATAAATGTAATTTTGTTGTTGTTGGCTGTATCAGTCAGCTTGGCTCAATTGGTAGCATTCTCGTCTCTAAGGTACTTGATAGTGATTGATGATAGTAATTGAAACTTTGAGGCGTTTCAATATGGCGAGATGTATAAAAACCCAAGTGTTTTTGTTTAATTGGTGTCCTCTTGTTACTGACCCACTGACCAGTGGAAAAATTTCCCTCCGTTTACCTTATCAAAACCCTTAAAAAAATTTAATACTTCCATCAAGACTCCTCTCACCCTTCTGTGTTCTAATTAAACATCCCAATGCACAAGCTCACAAGATTAGTTTAGATGAAGAAGGCTCTTCAACCCATCTGATCTCATCCTTCAGAACACCCACACTATTGATTATACCATCACTGCAGCAAACTGTTTCTCCTCGTAAGTAAAGCCTCCCATCCCAGGGAATCTTCTCTGCAACCTCCCTATGGCCTTGACATCCTTCCTATGAGTTAGATGCCCAAAACAGGACACAATATTCTAACCGTGACTTAATTAATGATTAAACAGATTCAGCATTACACCCTTTACCTTTGTACTTCATGCACCAATTTGATGTGCTTTAACAGCTTTACTAACATGCCCTCTCTCCATTAAAGATTTGTGTACATTAACCCCTGGGTAACTTCTCTTCTACTCCTTTTCCTTTAATGGATTCAGAAGCACAGCAAGACTAAGGATGCTGTGGAACACAGTGGAGAGTAAATTTGCAATATTTCTTAAATGTTCCATTAAATTTGCTGAATTTCAACCCAAAGATATCACGTCACCTGTCACATTTTTCTCCCCCCTGGTATTACCAGCAACTGAACGTTATAACAAAACCAATATACAAAAAGTAATTAAGAGTGAGAAAGAGAGCAAGAAGCAGTATAACATAGGCAATCAAACTGAGGAGAGAGGACTAAGACCCTTCTGCTCATTTCTGTCCAGATTCCCCACTCTACCATCCTCCTATCACACCATCCAACCGTTTTAAATGAATGCAGCATTCTGGCATCGACCAACCTTCCTGGTGTCTGTCCTGAACTTGCCCTCTGAAATTCCTGGTACCATTCTCAAATCAGTGCCCTGACAAAAACACCTAGCGCAAATCCGCTGATTACAGAGGCATCTGAACCATTAGCCAGTAAAACCTTAAAAAGGTCAAAAAAGTTACAAATTCCCCCGGTGCCTGTTTAGAGTGAACTCATGCTAATTATCTTCCTGTATTAAAAAAAACCTCTACCCATTTTCACTCTAGTAATTCATTTCAAATAGTCGAGTCCCTTTCACTGTCCTGTTAAGGGAATATCTTTGCCTGGATTACATACTTTTACCATATTTGCAGTCAAACACCACTCAGGGGGCAGGGCTCCGGCCATTCTGGGTAATTTTGAAATATTTCCTCAAACAGCAACGTCACTGGTTGGCTGATACTGGCAGAGTTTGCTGTACAGACACTCACAGACAGAGTCCCACGCTCACAGACACACACCGTTTCACACTCAGACACAAAGAGACACAAACAAAACTGGAATCTAAAATGGAATGTGATGCAATTTTCATTACAACGCCAACAGTTCACTTCATCACTGGTAATAGAGGGGTGCAAAATATAACATACTAAAAATATACAATATAATAATAATCTTTACCAATATATACAACAAAAACAACTTGCATTATACAGTTTCCTTCATTAGGGCGATGTCTTGGAGCGCTTAATATTGCCTTTTGTCGGAACAGTTCAAAGGACTACACAGGAAATTGCAGTGGGCATGGACTTGTTTGGTCGAATTGCCTGTTTCTGTGCTATAGCTATGTGTAGTCCGTATTTGTAGGGGAACATAGCACCAAGTTTCACACTAGAATTTTCCCACAAACATCCATTGAAATGACCAATTTTATTTTGTGAATTGTTGACCAGTAGAAACTCCCTTCTCTTTTCCAATAGTGCCCCTATTTCTATGACTCGCCCAGCTACACTGGCTTCCCATTTGCTTCAAAATCCTCCTTCTCGCTTTCAAAGTCCTTGAAGGCTTTGCTCCTCCTTACCTCTGTGACCTGCTAACTCCATATCGACCTGTCCACTCCCTCCGCTCAGCGGGCTGTGACCTGCTCCATGTCCCCTGCTCTGTCCGCCCCAACATCGGTAGACAGGCCTTCAGCTTCTCTGCCCCCACCCTTTGGATCTCCATTCCACAGTCCTTTCGCCTTGCTCGCTTCCTTGTCTCCTTCAAAGCTCATCTCAAGACCCCCATCTTTGACCATGTCTTCAGTTACCCCCCCCCCACCCCTGCCCTCCCACTCTTCCGATCCCAACTGCCAGCTCAGGTCCAAATCCCTAACTGCCTTAGGACATCCTCCCAATGTGAAAGGCACTATACAAATGTAATTTTGTTGTTCTTGTTGTTGTCTTGGTACATCCACCCGACTTGAAGGCGCTATGCAAATGTAAGTTGTTGTTTTTGTTGTTGTTGTGCTATGGGTTTTTAACATCCACAAGAACAGGCACACAAGATTTCAGTTTAACATCCCAATCAAAGCATGGCACATAAGACAATGTAGCACTCCCCAGTACCGCACTGAATCTTCAGCCTAGACTGTAAACTCAAAATCTCAGTGGATGAAGTATTTTTTCTAAAAGCAGATAGGACATCGCCCTCCGCATTATTCTAATTTGAACAAGTCAGTAAAAGTGATTAACTCCACTTAAATTTCCACTGACCAAATGACCAGCACACCCCAAAATGCTTGAAATCTCAGAACATACATTCCATTTGAGGCAACAAAATGCCCACAAAATAGCGCAATATGTATGTCAAGTGAGCCAACATGACTGGGGAGGTAAGCGGTCTCCTTGACACCATGATTCCAAGGTGAAATAAATCGCAACAGAACATGAAAATCGATTCAACCCTCTGCAATTTCAGCAGAGCGGTTACTTAGGGAGGCAGGTCTGCAGTACTACAGCATAGTGAGGACAGACCAGCTGACAGGCACACTGGCAAAACTTGGAAAACAGGCCAATCACTGGGAGCTGGGATTCTTTCCAATTGAAAGCCAAAACCCTAAATCGGTAGGTGATCCTAGCAAGTTGAATTCCAGCAATACCCAAACACATTCTGGGGTCCCCGGGCCTTGGCTCTCGCTAACCAATGCAATATACTGCCCAGAATTAGGTAAGCATATCTATTTAGATCAATTTGGTTTGGAAATCCTTAAGCAGGGTGATGAGTTCCGCATATGTCAGACTCCATATGCGATCTGGCTGGCCTCATATATTAAGCCATGGGTAAACAAAGCCTCCAGTATAAGCCTCAGGCAGTTTGTTCAGGCCTCAAGGCCAGGTTCAGTGCATGGGCCTGTGGTGTAAGAATCAAGGGCAGCTGAGCAGAGCCTCAATCCAGATTATTTATTGCAAGATCTTGCACACAATGCAAGCCTAACCCTTCCGCTCCTAACTAAAATTCCAAGCATATATTTTAAGTTGTTTTTCGCTGTTCGTTAAGCACCTGGACCCAAGATAAAGCTGAGGGGTTCTGGCATTTTGTGAGGTGGCTGAAATATATAAATATATAAGTCGGAAGGCACACATTAAATGGCAGTTGCATGTGTGTACATCTCTGGCATCTCTGACTGCATTGTTGCATCTTCCCTCCTGACACTGAAATGACATCTCAATTACTTGCAATAGGCCACTGCACTGGACCACTGCTTCAGAACATCAAACAGGACAATGTTCATAGAAACCACATTCAGATTTACACATGTGCATAATAAAATACTGTAGCGGGGGCCCATCAACGCATACAACTGCTAGTCATCAGCTTATAGGCCACTAGCCTTGCAGTCTGTTACACCAACACAAAGAGATTAGGCAAAGCAAGGCTATCCCTGTCAGGTGTGGATGGGAAAGAGAGCAGCCACAAGGCAGATTTGACCCCATTTACCGCACCCTGGATCCAGGGTCCACATCACTCACTTCTATGGGATACATAACATTCAACCGCACAACAGGCAAGAGAAAGCAATGGAGGTATTTCTACCACGTTGTACTTACTTTCAGTGAATCAAAGCAGGCAATGACTCTTCCATTCTCAACTTGGCAGCTTTTGGATGGATGTGCAAATTTACATTCAGTGTCTGGTCGTGAGCATGTCCCTCTTTGAAATTCTCTGCACACTTCCAGCGTCAGCCATTTCGTGTCTCGGATCTGTGTCACGTTAACAGCCATGTTTGAGAGTTACAGGTAGGGCGGGATTCCCGAAGGGTGCAGATAAAACAGGCAGACTGCGGTGGTGCGTCAACGTCGATTAAAAACAAAACCCTTTTTAAAAATACTTTCAAAGTCTCCCGTTCTCTATGAGTGCGTGCAGTTTTTTTTAAAAAAAACTTTTTTTAAAAAAAAGTTTACAGAAGGCTTTTGATAGAAATAGAGGATTTCCTTCTCAGAAAAAACTCATGTCATTAAGATTGTCGTTTCAAAAGGCTTTTTTTTAAAAACAAATAACAGTGCTATTAACAGCAAGGTGCTGGATGCCAATCTGTCAGGTCTGGCGCAGGTTAGCTGTGGGTCCTCAGTCAACCATCCGAAGTGCCAATTTGGAGCGCGTCTGTAAAGCTGGTGATCGCTTCGCTTGCACTGAACTTTCAGTAAAGTTATTTGAATTGTAAAATCGCCAGTGTGCAGTGGCAACTGAAAGAACCTTGATTTTCAGCCAGAAGTTAGTTTTATTCTGCAGCGAAAGTTTTCTGTTCTTATATATATATTTAGATATATATTGTTACAGTAGAGCAGCAGAGGGCAATGCCAGGCTGATGCACTGCAAACTGTTTTTTCCCCTCTTTTGGGTCTAGGTGGGAACAGGGTGGGGAGAGGTGGGAGGGAAGGGGAGGCGAGTGCACTGGAGACTGAGGGCTGAGGTGCTGTTGTCTCTGTTTAATTGGCAGCAAGCAAGGCAAAAGCACAGTCTGCCCTAGAAGCGGTTCCAAGCAGCAGGGACGTCAGGAAAGGCACTTTTCAGTACCAACCTGTAGGAGAAAGAGACACATCAACATTTTACCAAGCAGTACTCCACACCCGTCCCACAGTGTGCAAAACAGCAAACCAAAAAAGAAACCTCAAGAGCAAAGGCAGAGTCTATCTGTGCACGGACACTCACAGTGCAGTGTAAAACAGCCGAGCATTGGAGAATTTCTTTTAAAAAAAAGCTTTTCCACTCCTTGTGAAGCAGTGCATGATAGGGAGAGCCAATTAGGGAAAATATTGCAGCAGTATCCTGGGCAGAGAGCCGATAGTGTGGGCTGTCTTATGAAAGGTCGAGCTTGTCGGACGTTCACTGCACATGCTCTGAGCACGAACGGCCATCAGAAGCGACTAACTCCACTGCAAGGAGACTTGTGTGTTTTAACTCACCCTAACATGCAGTTTACAATTTGACTGCGGTAGCTCGCCACCAGCTTCCCGGCAACTGCACCCTTCCCCCAGCATATACATACATACAGAGCTCCCAGCCTGAACCTGCACCTTTCCCACTCAGTTTGGCCTGCCTGAGACACACCCACACAACCTGTCCGGCCACTGCGAGGGAGGCGTGAGGCAGGCAGGCGGCTCCTGGGGTGGGGGGGAAGCAATGGAGGAAGTGCTGGCTCCTGCAACTAGGGCTAGGGGAGGAAGCTAGCTGCTGCACGAGGGGTAAGGCAATGGCTGGCTCCTGGGGTTGAAGGGTGGGGAGGGAAAAGGTGGCCGAGGGCTGAGAGCTGGGGGGGGGGGGGGGGGGGGATGGACGGCGACTGCAAGGGGGAAAGCAGCCATGAATAGCGCACTCTTCACTGGCACCATTCTGTGCCTGCCTCCAGCGTGTGAGACGCTGCTCCTTACGTCCTGTTAAATCTTCCCCACTCAGCGACCAGGCGGTCTGTCTGTCTGTCAAAGACATCACGGCCTCAGTCAGACCTAACAAAAGCTGCCTTTATTCTGACCTCTTTTAGCCGGTGCTCGTGTTGCGCGGGGAACAGAGGGATCTCAGTGCTGTCAGGACGTCTGGCAAAACCGTGCCTCAGCCAAAGTAAAGGGCATGTCTATTACATGCTAGCGTTAAATATTAAGCATAGCAATTTGGAATTTGCAAAGCGTCTTCTCCCTACTGATACCTATGCACGTTCTGCTGTCATTTGCAAGCAGACTAGGATGAGCTATTTACTGCTAACTCTACACTTTCTAGCTAGAGTAATTTGAAATCTAAATATCCCATTCCTCCCTGCCCCTCGCTCAGTTTGGGCATGTCTGCTGTCTGCACCCCTACAGCAAAAGCCACCTCCATCTCGTCACTTCCACAGCAGAGTGTGGAGGGAGTTTGTTTAACTAACACTAGCTCAGAGCAAGAGGGCGGTGTGCAATTAAATCTCAAATATTTGCCGGCAGAGAGCTAAAAATTGAAAACTCTCCAACTGAAGTGATGAACACACATTCCCCCGCTCTTTTGCTCTACCCCCCTCCCCCAACCATAACCAGTGCTCAACCCGTTCAAGATAGATTTTTTTGTGAGTAAAGAAATTGTACAGCGTAGTGCCAGGTTCTCACGAAAAAGCTTTGGTGTTTGAGGGGCCAGTGCCCTCACTGCCCTTTAAGCAGCGAGACACACAGGGGCAGCGAATGAACAGGTACTAATATTGATTACTAATTGCAGCTGATCAAATAATTCACCAAGATGATAGCCAGTGTTTGGCACAAGTACGTGTAAGCTTTTCATGCGTTGAGGGATGTCATCACTTCTCAATTATGTTTTGGGGAAAAAATTTACATGAGAGGTGCTTGTGCAATGAGGGCGGCTGCTGTGGCTGTGTACTCAGAGCCAGGCTCCCTTGCGCTTCAGAAAAACAGCACCGCCCTAATTCTCAATGTTAGATCTGTAGGAAAGCATCCCAGTGATCTCACCACAGGGGGTGTTTGGGAGTGGGTGGGGGGGAGGGTTTCCTATTAAAACAATGTCTCTTTGCGATCTGCTTCCCTCTTGAGTATTTACTACCCACTGTACGTCTTTAACCCTTTCACCACCTGAGATGCAGATGTGTCAGAAAAGGCTGAGTAAATCAGTTATACGCGCACACAAACACGTAAACATACACACACAAAAGCATTCCCACACAAACACACATAAGCATTCCCACACAAACACACACTCACAAGAACTCACATAAGCACACTCAAGCACGTGCACAAGCAGACTCGCACAAGCATGCACAAACACAGGATTACACAAGCTCCCATAGACAGATACACACGTGTACATACACACACACCAAATAATCCTTGCATTTGATAATCCTAATCTGCTTTATCAAATCTTAAAGAGCTTCGTATGGAACTGCTGTCAAGAGACTTTTGGTACACAAACAGATACACACACATAAACCTGGACACAGACGAAAACAGGCCTGCATAGAAACTCACTTTCCATCTGGTCCAAAGTTACTCAGCAGTGAACAGGAATGAGACCCATGGCCACTTCATTCCCTTCCCCAGCCCATTGTAGCTCCAGCAACTGCCCAGGCTGAGACCACAGGGCAGGATTCACACCTGGGACCGTTTAGGCCCTTGTGGTTCAGTTGCATGCTTGAAGAGTGAGTTTCCTAACTGTCATTGGGGAACAAGATAACATTTCTCACCACTCCTTCCTGTGCTAACAGCTGACAAGCACCTAACTCAGCAGTCATCCCAAGAGTTCCCTCCCTGCCTCATTCCCAGCCTCTCCCCACACTGTGGCTTGCGATATGTAGTATTAATTATTGAACCTGGAAGATGGGTCTAAAATGTAGAATTTAACCTGGATTTGCAAGGGAAATACAAGTAAAGACTTCAGAGAATCTGGATGTGCTTCCCAACCAACCTCAGGAATGCTACATGCACACCTATAAATGCACATAACGGGAAGACAGAATTAAAGTTGGCAAGATTAAATATTTAGGAATCCTTTGTGAATCCAGATTGTCACCATTATACGCAACCTAAGCATCAGGTTCGACCCCCAATTATCCTTCCTCCCCCACATCCGGTCCCTCACCAGCACCGCTTTCTTCCACCTCTGATACATCGCTCGTCTCCACCAATACCTCACTTCAAAAGCCGCTGAAACCCTGGTCCATGCCTTTGTCACCTCAGCTGGACTATTCAAATGCCTTCCTCGCCGGTCTCCCCTCCACTACCATCCATAACATCCAGGTCTTGCAGAACTCTGCTGCCCGCATTCTTATCCACACCAAACTCCGCTCCCCGATTACCCCAGTCCTTGTCAGACTGCACTGGCTGCCTGTCCCAAAGAGGATCGACTTCAAGATCCTCACTCTTATCTTCAAATCCCTCCATTCCTCTGCACCCCCCAACTCTCTGATCTCCTCTCTCCTCACAACAGTGCCCGTTGCTTTTGTTCCACCGGGTTTGGCCTCCCCCTTGTCCCTCCGAGTGCTCCGCTCCACCCTCGGTGGCCGTGCTTTCAGCCACTAAGCCCCGAAGCTCTGGAACTCCCTTCCTCACTCCCTTCACCTCGTGCCCTCTCTTCCTATTTTCAAATCTTGGCTGAAGACCTTTCTTGTTGACAGCGCCTTTGGTCACCTTCCTCCCCCTCCCCGGGATCCGTTACTGTAAAGGGCTCAGAGACGCCGTCCGGCGTGGAGGGCGCTACATAGTTCCAAGTTGTTGTTGTTGTTATTCTCCTAAATGGCAAAATGTTAATTCCCCAATCCACTGATAAGGGAGCTCTGCAGCGAGGATACTGGTAATCACCCAGGCACAGTCTTTACCAGTGACAGGCATTGGGATCTTCTCCAAAAGACACATTTCACAGGCTTTGTTTTTCCAATCAGTCAGTAGGTCAGGGCACAGAACCAGTCTTCTCATGTGTGACCAACACCAGCAGCGTAATATCAGCATAATATGAAAAAGAACCATATTCTCCTGAGGTAATCCCACTCACTCCTGGGCCTCACCAATGCATCAACAGCAAGGAACACTGTGAAGCACGATAAGATTTATGGTGTTTCATAATGAGTTCCTACTGTTAATTAAGCCTGTAATTCAGCCTTCATATGGCTATTTTGCATCATCAGTGTTTGTGTTGCAAAGCAGTTCAAGAGGATGTGTTAAGAATAGGAACATGTTCGGCAATATTGTAAGTTTAATCCCAATTTCTGGATCAGGCAGTAAAACACACTACTCCCTTCATTACATCAGTACAGAGGGAACAGCACAAGATAGAGAAACAAGAGATTTGGATGAAGAAGGCCTTTAAATCTCATCCTTCGAGAATCTCTACCCTACTGTCCCCTCAATACAGCATGAGGCGTACTCTTAAATATATCCAACATTTTAGCATCAACCACCTTTCCCGGTAACCTCTTCAAGTTAACTACTCTGTGGATAAATAAATACTTCCCGGTGACGTCCTGAAATTCCCACAAATGTACCACACAGGAGCACATTCTTATCACCCCCCTCCATGGACAGCACCCTCTCCACAAATCTGACAGGAGGGCCTCTATGGGTCCCATCTCAGCTGTCTCTCTGCACCTGAAGATGTGACCCTGCAGTCTCGACTATCATCTCTATTGTACACCATCAGTCTTTAGTCAGGACATCTTGAGCGCTATGTAAGAGGATGTGTCCCAGCCACCCGCACACCAGGCTGAGCCAAAATTGACCAGGTCACAAGCGCCTTATGGCTGCTCACATGCATTTCATTTTTAACATTTGACGAGTAAGAACTAATCAAGATGGGGTTTCAGCCAGCATCAAAGTTTTCTAGTTGGTGCTGCTCTGTAATTTCACACTGCAAAACCATAGAAATCTTCAGCACAGAAGGAATCCAATGCAGCTACTGTATGAGTGTTGGTTTGCTGCACCATTGAAAATGCCTATCCTTATCCCAATTCTCTGTACTTTTCTCATACCTTCTAATCCCTTTCGCTAATCCCTAATATATGATTCTGTAATTCTCTTTTAAATGTCTTTCAATCAATCAATTGCCTCAGCCATC